AGGTGCTTCACTTACTTCAGGTGCTTCACTTACTAGAGGTGCTATATATATTTTATATTTTCTAAATATATAATAGTTTATTTTGGAGTTAATCACTGCTGATGTTAATTTTTGTCTGAAAACTTTGACGCTACTCTATGACATGTTGGTTTTCAAATCTTCGAATTTTGATTTTATTCAGTTTAAAAACACAATGTTATGGTTTTTTTCATGCGTCAAATCAAATGTTTCCATGCGCTAAATAGTTTTTATAACAAAGATTATAAAACAAAATCACAAGTATTATACAGTGCCATATTCATTTTCTTTTCCTCTTGTTTTGGTTTTGGTGGCTATATTGGCAGCGACCAGTGTGGCATGTGAAACTTTGAGGAATATGATTGGTTCTATGGTATAAACTATCTAAGAAAGGGCACTCCCGAAAACCCATCACACACCATCCTAATACCAAGCTAGATGGACCATTCAATTTATGAATTTATGATTTCACCCATGGGAATTAACTAAGTCAAGCACCTGAAGTGAAGCACCTCAAGTAAGTGAAGCACCTGAAGTAAGTGAAGCACCTCAAGTAAGTGAAGCACCTCAAGTAAGTGAAGCACCTCAAATAAGTGAAGCACCTCAAGTAATTGTAAGCACCTCAAGTAAGTGAAGCACCTCAAGTAAGTGAAGCACCTCAAGTAAGTGAAGTCAAGCACCACAAACAAGTCAAGCACCACAAGCAAGTCAAGCACATGAAGTAAGTGAAGCACCAYAAGTAATGAAAGCTAGTAAATGATAAAAATTAAGAGCCATAAACAGAACACACACTATTAAACTAAAAACACTATGTACATCATTTGACAAAACCCCTTTTAAAAGTAAATGAAGCAGAACATAGAACAACATAGAAGYCAACAATCTAAAAAAATTGTGGATTCCACTAAAAGATTGGTAAGGTACATTTCATAGGGAAGTGTTAGCCAGTTTGTGTTGAAATGCTTGACTTGACATGAAATGGCTGAAAAAGTCAACAACCAAACATGGGTCATGATTTGCTATACTGTGAGTCTATCCAACAGATTGTGAGTATCAGGTTACTTATTACTTTCCAGATGGGACAATCTGCAGGTTTATCTAGCAAGTGTGATATAATAATAATAATAATAATAATAATAA